GTTGTTGGCACTTACTCATTCACTGAACAGAAATGATCGCGCACTTCCTCCGTGCCAGGCACTGCCCCGGACTCCAAAGATACAGCAGAGAACCAGGCAGCTGAAGCGTCAGCCTCATAGAGTTGACATTCTAGGGGAGAGGAAGATACTAAATGTGTGAGTCCTCTGAGGCCGACAGCCTATCCAAGAGAACAGCGAGGGAAGGGAGAGCGGGTGGGGTGGGGTGCTGGGGTGGAAACAGTTGAAGTTTAAGTCTTGGGGAGGGGTCAGGACATTTGAGTGGACCTGGAAACCCGGTGGGTGAGTGTTCTAGCAGGTGCAAAGGCCCTGGGGTTAGAACAGCAAGGAAGTTAGCGGAGCTGGAGGAGAGTAAGCGTGGCATGAGGTGAGGGCAGAGGGGTGAGGGGTGGGATAGCAGATTATGATCTGAACTTTTATTCAGAGGAAACGGCAAGGGAGGGGTAGTCTCTGGAGGATTCTGAGTGGGGCAGTGGTGGGGCTCACAGGCTTTTCGTTTCCCTCAGGCTGCTGTGTGGGGTCTGGGGAGAGACAGTGTCAGAGGTGGGAAGGCCAGTGAAGAGGCTGCAGGGAGTGCGGTGGGAGGAGAAAGGGGCTGTGGCCACCACAGTGCCTGTGGTTGTGCGTAACAAATGACCTAGGATGGTTTTAGGTGACTCTGCTAGCGGTTCTGACCCACAGGTTGAGAACCGCTGCTGTAGAGCCTAAGACCATCGGAAAACACAGATGTTTACATTACGATTCATTAACAGTAGCAACATTACAGTGATGAAGTAGCAACGAAAATAGTTTTATGGTTGGGGGCACCGCCACCTGAGGAGCTGTGTTAGAGGGTCTCGGCATCAGGAAGGTGGAGAACCACCGATCTAGAGGAAGGGTCAGGCCAGCAGGGAAACCTCACATTCCACAGAGTTCCCTGTTCTTCCGAGGAGCTTGCTATCCTTTTATCATTTGATCTTCAAAATAGACTCAAGCATTGTCTTCCATCATCCGTGTTAGAAAACTGAGACCCTCAGGGACTCGGCCGAGCTCTCGCTGGCAGGTGGCAGAGCCGAGCGGAGCCCGCGCCCCCCGTGCTGCACGCTGAGGGGGAGAACATGCCAGCCGGCTGAAGTGGGACCATCGCCCACGCTGACAGCAGCGGTGACAAGTCAGCTGTGAGAGCGGTTTTGGTCTTTCAGTCCCGCCTCGGCCCTGAGCCCGGTCTGCAGTGTGGGGTGGTGTGAGGACTCGATGGGTTAAGACCTGTGAATTGTCCTTGGCACAGATATGTGCTCCATAATGTCAGCTACTAATACTAACTAGAGGCCCAGTGCATGAAAATTCATGCACTGTGGTGATGGAAGGTGATTTGACTTTGGGAGGTGGGCACACATGCAATGTACAGATCTTGTCATGTAGAAATCTGCACCTAAAACCTATGTGATCCTATTAACCTATGTCACCCAAATAAATTAAATTAAAAAAAAAAATTCATGCATTGGAGGGAGAGGGTCTCCTTAGCCCAGCCTGCCCCCTCTCACAGTCCTGGAGCCCTCAGGGGTGAGATGCAACGCCCCATCACCCCTCTGCTGCTGTCACTGCAGGCAGTACAAGCTTCAGCGGGCCCTGGGTACCTGGGCCTCAAGTGGCCTGGGCAGCTGGGCAGCTTGGCAGCCACCATCCAAGGCTTCCCTGCATCTCAGGCCATCCCTGGGGGGTTGCGGGGCTGAGGGGACTGGGGGACTCCAGAGGCAGGTGAACGAAGCAGCCATACCCACCTTGCTGTGTGCCTGCCGCCCTGGCAGGGCCGAGGGGACTGGGGACTGGGCACTGCCATCTTGTGGCTGTGGGCGCCACCATCTTTGAGGGTGTGACTGTCAATTAGCATATTCCCTCCTTATTGGGTGTGGGTGCCACCATCTTTGAGGGTGTGACAGTCAATTAGCATATTCTCTCCTTATTGGGTGTGGGTGCCACCATCTTTGAGGGTGTGATAGTCAATTAGCATATTCCCTCCTTATTGGGTGCCACCATCTTTGAGGGTGTGATAGTCAATTAGCATATTCCCTCCTTGTTGGGTGCCACCATCTTTGAGGGTGTGACTGTCAATTAGCATATTCCCTCCTTATTGGGTGTGTGTGCTGCCATCTTTGCAATGGTGTGAGGGTCAATTAGCATATTCCCTCTTTATTAGATAGGATGGCACAAGGCTTTTAAGGCCACAAAAAGTCAGATGGGCATCGAGCCCATTCAATGGGTCGAGGAAAGCTAAGCGTGCGTTGACTTGCCTGAAGGGCATGTCCGACATCAGCTATTCGGTTCCTGGCTCAGAGATGCAGTGATGGCACCTGCCTCAGGGGGCGCGAGAGGCAGGGGAAGATAGGGTGGGGTGTCTGGCAATACGGTGCTGTGGGCTCACACACCCCTCCCGCGTCCCTCCCCGGCCCTGGCTGGTATTCCTGAGCCTCTCTGAGCCGGTCCAGCCGGGGCTGGCGTGTGCTGGGCCCTCACCATCTCGCCTAATCCTTAGTCGGGCCAGGTTATCCTCATCTCCCCCAGGACCCAGCAAGGCCATGTGCGTTGCTCAAGGTCACATAGCAGTTTGGCGGCAGGGCAGGGCCCCGAGGCTAGAGCTGCTTCTATTACACATGCTCTCGGCTGGGAGGGACCCAGCAGTCCCCGTCCTGGGTCTGGACCAGGTGGAGGGTGGTCTCCTCCTAGCTCGACATGGGATCCTCCTAGCCAACATGCCAGGCCCTGGCTGCCCGCCCCGCCTCCAAGCTTCAAGTGCCCTCGGTCCTGCGCCCACTCCCTCTGCTCTCCTCCAGCGCAGGCTGGAGGGCTTTAAGAAACAGGCAGTTTATGCACACAAGGCAAAATTTAAAAGGCATGAAAGAGCCCAGTGGAAAACCTCCCACCCCATCCGCCAGCCACCATTCTTCCAGCTTCCAGAAATACTCCGCGTGTGCCTGTCCACCCCCCTCGGGCCAGGAGCCTGCAGCCTCGCTGCTCTGCCCGCGCCTTGGCTTCTGTCACGTGGCCTAGGAGGGTGCGTTCGGGCCGCCTGCGCTCCGCTCACTGACCCGGGCCTGGCGCGTCCGGGTTGTGGCCGGCCTCTGGCTTTCCCAGGCAGACCTGCGGTGAATTTGATGGGGCGGCAGCAGTTCGCCCCGCTGGCTGGAAGGGGAATTCCTAGGACCAGGGCACTGGCTAGGGGCCGTGTGCCTCTGTGACGGTGAGAAAGGAACCGAGGTTTTATCAGTCGCTCCCCCTCTACCAGGGGTGCCCTCGACCTTCACTTCAGGAGGGAGTCCCCCCATGAGCCGCACACCGGGGGGGTGAGGGGGTCCCTAAGTTCTATGTAACTTTGAGGGTTCTAGGTGGCTCTGTCCCAGGGATCCTTACCGAACCTGGCTGAACGTCCTTCATCACGGGTCCCTGCCTTGGACTTCTCCGTGTCCTCGTGCAGCGAGTACCGCTCTGTAAGCGAAAAGTGCCAAATTAAAAGGAAAATCCTCAGACTTGTTTCTTGTCCCTTGATGAACTCTAGCTGCCCTCTCTCTACCCACCCTGCTGGATGTAAGTTTGGGAGGAAATGAGATTGTGCTAAGGGGAGCGAAATCAATGCCTGAGAGATGCAAGGAGGCCAAGAGCACTAGCCCCGGACAGGCGGGGAGACTGAGGCCAGAGGGGCAGGGGCCTCCCCGGCCCAGGATCCTCATGTGGGAGTGCCGCTGTCCGTGGACCCCAGGTGGGCGAAACCTCGCAGAGGCAGCACTCCCCAGGGCTCCTCATGGGTCGGGTTCACAGTCCCTGAGGTGACAGTGCGGACCAGGGAGGTGACCCTGGGCCCAGGCTGTCAGCTGGTAGTGGGATCAGGCCTGGCTGGGCCTCACTGTCCCTTTGGAGACCAGGCCCCTGGCCTTCTGGGTCTAGGCTCCTGACGACTGAGCCATTCCACGGAGCCATTCTTGCCTGGGTGGCAGGGAGCGCAGTGTGGGGTGGCGCAGGGCAGCGCCCGCCCCAGCCCTCGGGCAGCACACGGCCTAGATTGGACAGCTGTGATGCCGGCCGACAGTTCCAGGCCACACACAGCTGCCTGACGCTCGCACAGAGCGCAGCGGTCTGGCCTGTGGGCCGGGCTGCCTGTCTGGGACTCGCAGGGACATGGAGCAGCTCACTGCAGCCTTTGGGGCTGGGCACAGGGCAGCCGGCGGGCCTCGTGGCTCAGGGAGCTGAGGAGGAGCTCGGCTTGGGCGGGAGGTGGGAGGGGCCTGCAGCCGGTTCCCAGGGAACTTGGTCCAGGCTCCAGGTGGAAGTTTGGGGGGACTTAGGGGTTGAACCGGGCCCTACGTTGGTGGGGAGCTTAGGTGGGTGTTTTGGGCCTGGTGCAAGAACCTGCCTGGGTTGGGTGGGCAGTGCCCAGGGAGCAAATTGAGATGCCAGCTGCAGTTCATTGAACTCTAATGATCTACAGGCCGTCAGCTTTTGGGGGAGGAGAGGAGGGAGTGTAGAGGGCTGCACAGAGGTAAGTCTGATTGCTGGCCTCTGTGTCTACGAAACAAACCACAGGTTTATTTAAAGCAAAGACGCGATTACGTGGCGCTAGCTTTCAGCTCCGAGTCCAGGAACACAGAGCAGCGGCAGGTGCCATGTCTGGTGGCTGGGCAGGCTTCTGAGAGAGGTGCCACACTGGAGCTGGAGGATGGGTTTGGGGGAGAGGGGAAGGAGATGGAGAGATGGAAGTGGGCAGGAGGGGTACTGCGGGGAGACTCTGGGGCCACCCTGGGGACGGCTGGTGAGCCAGTCCCCGGGCAGGAAGTCCCATCCCAATGCAAGGCTTTGCCTGGGGAGCCCCCATCCCCACGGCAAGTTGGGGCAGGGCCTGGAGTGGGGCCTGTGGACACGTCCTCATCTCCAGGATCTCTCCCCTCCAGCGCATGAGCAGCCCAGCCTGCTGACCGCCGCTCCCCGCCTGTCCATCCTGCCACGGCCACACCATGTCCGGCTCCTACGACGAGGCCTCCCTGGCTCCGGAGGATTCCACCGACAGCTTCTGGGAGGTGAGGCTTTGACACTCCCGGGCCCTGGGGACCAGACATCGAAGCCTGGCTGTGGAGGCCCAGCTCTAACCACCTCACGCCTCAGGCCTGGCCCCCAGCCCCTCGGGCTCTGCAGAGCTCTCCGTGTCCAGCAGGCTACGATGACCACCTCCCGAGGCCAGAGCACCCTGCCCACAGCCCCCCAGGGACTCCCCTGGTATTTCATGGTGCGGAACAGGCCCCCTGCCCTCTGCTCTGGGCGCCGGCTCAGGGGCCTGCACTTCCCATGCGCACACCACCTTCCCAGCTGCTCCCTGTCCCCTCCTCTCCCCCCCGTGGGGTGAGCAGAGGCGGAAGGAGCACTGGTCCCAGGGAAATGGAGTGAGTTCGGGGAACCCCACAGCAGCACAGAAGTGGAGACAGGCCCGTGTTTCAGAGCCTCCCCAAATATTTGCCACCCAGAAAGTGTTTTTTTTTTACTGGCTTATGGAACCCAAAGTGAAAACCGCCAAACCTAAATTAATAAGTGTTTAATGAGATGTCTACACAACATAATATTATGTCAAGAAGTTGCAGCTCAACTCAGTGCTTCTGACTCTATATAAATAGATTTAGCTCATAAGAATGAAATGAATAATTCATCTGGCCCAAGTCCAGATTATAAAAAAACCTCTTGCATTTTGTGGCAGCGACAAAATTGTGTTTTAAGTGTGAGCAGGGAGTGTATAGACAGGGGTGTGAGGAGGGGTGCCACGTCCTGGACAAGCCAGAGGGTCCCAAGGCGCCCTGGGATGGTGGTGGCGGGCGCCCCCTGCAGGACGCGGCGGCCAGGGCGGGGGGGGGGGGCGAGGGGGGAGGCGGGGAGGCGGGAGGCGGGGAACCCTGGGTGTCATGCGCGCCGCTCGCCGCCAGGTGGGGAACTACAAGCGGACAGTGAAGCGCATCGATGACGGGCACCGCCTGTGCAACGACCTGATGAGCTGCGTGCAGGAGCGCGCCAAGATCGAGAAGGCCTACGCGCAGCAGCTCACCGACTGGGCCAAGCGCTGGCGCCAGCTCATTGAGAAAGGTGCTGCCCCCCGTCCCCCCGCCCCGTGCCCATCCCCTGGGCACCGTCCAGACCCTAACCCCACTGTCTGGATCCTGGGAGCACCCGGCCACCGGGATGCACCTGCAGCCTCCAGCAACAGGGCCTTAGCGGGAACTGCCCTCACACCTGCGCTCCTCCCCTCCCTGACCCCCCAGGGCTCCCTGTCTTGGTACAGGTTTTGTTTGGATATAAAACAAACAAATCCCCAACTTTTCAGTTTAAAATAATTTTAACTCAGAGAAAAGTTACAAGAATAGGACTACATTCCCTTCACCCAGACTCACCAGTGGACATTTTACCACACTGGTGTTACCCCTATTTATATGCATAGTTCTTAAACATTTCGATTGGAGACACGCCCCTTCACCCTAAATTCTCCATGTATCTCCTAAGAATGAGAGCATTCACGTATGTCGCCACAGTCCTGCTATCACATTCAGGACATCTAATCTGGCCCATATGCATATTTTATTATGGCAATTGTTTGCGGGTCCAGGGTCCAGTTCAGCATCAGATACTGCGTTTAGATGTCATGTCACTCGGTTCCTTTAATCTAGAACAGCTTCCAATGGAAGCTTACATATATGAGTAATGTTTTCTCTTCCGCTAGACCCAATCCCATGAGGGCCAGGGCTGGGCTGTGCTGCCTAGTACAGCGCCTGGCACAGCGGCGATGCCAGTGCACAGAGAAACAGGCCATGGGATGTCCGGTCCCAGGAGCCTCCTGGTACCTGCCACCAGTTGGTTCTTCAGTTTTGCATTTAGCCAACATTCCTGGAGCACCTACCGTGTGCCTGGAGCACCTACCGTGTGCCTGGAGCACCTACCGTGTGCCTGGAGCACCTACTGTGTGCCTGGAGCACCTACCGTGTGCCTGGAGCACCTACCGTGTGCCTGGAGCACCTACTGTGTGCCTGGTGCACCTACTGTGTGCTTGGTGCTGTGCTGGGCTTGTGAGAGCACACAGGGTTGAGGCTGTTCCCCGCCCTGTCCCCTCTCCCCCCCAGCCTGGGGCTCATAAGCTGACAGGGGAGGTAGGGTGTAGACGGAGAGGCAGGTGTGAAGAATTCAGTGAGGGCAATTCAGTGTGACAGCAGTCAGACAAGCCTTTCTGGAGGAGGTGACTATACCCGGGCCCTGGAGGATGAGGAAAACTGTAGGCAGAGGGAGGGGGGGTGCGAGGGGGCCTCTAGGCGGGGGGCCGTGAAGGCCTCGGACCCCACGGCCGTCTCCTCAGGCCCGCAGTACGGCAGCCTGGAGCGGGCCTGGGGGGCCATCATGACGGAGGCGGACAAGGTGAGCGAGCTGCACCAGGAGGTGAAGAACAACCTGCTGAACGAGGACCTGGAGAAGGTCAAGAACTGGCAGAAGGACGCCTACCACAAGCAGATCATGGGCGGCTTCAAGGAGACCAAGGAGGCTGAGGACGGCTTCCGCAAGGCCCAGAAGCCCTGGGCCAAGAAGATGAAGGAGGTGCCGGGGCAGTGCTGCAGAGGGGGCGGGGGTGGGCGGCTGAGCTCAGAGGGCCAGTCTCATCGGGGGAGGCGTCCGCAGATGGGATTGTGCCAGGGGGAGCAGGCCTACCCCTACACAGGGCAGGCACCACGGTGCTCGCCAGGCATGTGTCCGACGCAGCAGGCTGTGCCCTGCAGGGAGACCTCCACAGGTGGGCACTGCTCCCCATACCGGGAGCCAGGGCCTGCACCCCTCCTGCCTCTGAAGACTGCTCACCCGGCCCCTGGCAGCGTGGGCAGGTGGGAGGGCTGGCGAGTGCCCGCACTTGCTCCTGCTCACCAGTAGGAGGCCTGCCGCCCGTCCTGCTTCCCCACAGCTGGAGGCAGCCAAGAAGGCCTACCACCTGGCCTGCAAGGAGGAGAAGCTGGCCGTGACCCGGGAGATGAACAGCAAGTCGGAGCAGTCGGTCACGCCCGAGCAGCAGAAGAAGCTGCAGGACAAAGTGGACAAGTGCAAGCAGGACGTGCAGAAGGTGCCGCCGGGCCGGGCGCGGCGGGCCCGTGGGGCGGGCAGGGCCGCCGCCGCGGGCCTGGGCCTCACCCTCCCCGTGTCCCGGTGCCTCCAGACGCAGGAGAAGTACGAGAAGGTGCTGGATGAGGTGGGCAAGACCACCCCGCAGTACATGGAGGGCATGGAGCAGGTGTTCGAGCAGTGCCAGCAGTTTGAGGAGAAGCGGCTGGTCTTCCTCAAGGAGGTGCTGCTGGACATCAAACGCCACCTCAACCTGGCCGAGAGCAGCAGGTAGCTGGCTGGGCGGCTCCGTGGCTCAGGCACAGCGGGGAGGGCGGAGCTGGGGGGCGAGGCATCCGGGCCCCGCGTTACGGTGACAGGAAGGGCAGGGCTGGGCTGCAGGGGCTGAGAGAGAAGAGGCTGCACGCACAGCGGCCGCCTGGTGCAAGCCGGTGCACTCCGGGTGCTCAAGAAACAGGCGTGGGCAGACGGGTGAGTGGCTGAGGTGGGGGCGGCGAAGGGTGTCCACCGGGCATGCCCACACGGAGAGGGCTCCGGGGAAGCCTGCCTGACTCCCGGCTGGGGGCCAGCACCCCGGTCCCCTGAGCGGGCGCCTGCCCTCACCAAGGATGAGAGGCCATGTGCATCCTGCCCCCTCCGCCCTCTCCCGTGCACAGCTACGTCCACGTGTACCGGGAGCTGGAGCAGGTCATTCGGGGGGCGGACGCGCAGGAGGATCTGCGGTGGTTCCGCAGTACCAGCGGCCCCGGCATGCCCATGAACTGGCCCCAGTTTGAGGTAAGGGCGTGTGGGGCCGCGGAAGGGGAGTCTGCGGAGGCCGGAGGGGCCTCGGGGAGATGGCCCAGCCTGACTGCCCCCCCTGGCGCCCACCAGGAGTGGAACCCAGACCTCCCTCACGCCGCCGCCAAGAAGGAGAAGCAGCCCAAGAAGGCCGAGGGGGCGGCGCTGAGCAACGCGGCTGGGGTGCTGGAGTCCGCGTCCCAGGCCGGCGACCGAGGCAGGTGAGTGTCTCCCGTGGAGCTTCCTACAGGCCAGGAATCTCTCTGAGTTTTACCGTAAGACAAGAAATGGCCCAAGCCACAGCAACCTCATTCTCCTTTCAAACGCAGCGATAGCTAATCCTTTGCGAGCACCTGCTGTGTGTCCGGCACTGTCCCAAGCATTTTCGTACGTTAACTCACTGAAGCCTGCGGCAGTCTGAGGAGTGTGTAAATATTCCCATTTTACAGACGGAGGCACTGACGCCCAGAGGAGTTAAGCGGTTGCAGGAGGTCACAGAGCGGGTTCCTAGCCTCAGAGCCAGGATATGGGGCCCAAGAGTCTGGCTCCAGAACCATCGCTCTTGACCACCAGATTGTACTGCCCTCTCCTGGGGAGCCAGATGTCTCTGGGGTCCCTTCAGCACCCCTCACTCTAAGGCTCAGTAACAATGCTGCTAGTCTGGTCTCCCCTCTGTTTAAAGAGCGGCCAGTGAGGGTCACTGGGTCAGGACCCCTCTCCCAAAGCCACCCCAGCCCCAGCCTTGCTGAGCGGCGGCGCAGCGCTCTGGCTGGGCAGAGGGGCAGAGCTGGGGACAGGAGGGGCAGTGCAGGCCGGGTCCTCCCTCTGCTTCTCAGCGTCAGCAGCTATGACCGGGGCCAGCCCTACGTCACCGAGTGGTCGGACGATGAGAGCGGGAACGCGTTTGGGGGCAGCGAGGCCAACGGGGGCGCCAACCCCTTCGAGGACGACGCCAAGGGCGTGCGCGTGCGGGCCCTCTACGACTACGACGGCCAGGAGCAGGACGAGCTCAGCTTCAAGGCCGGTACGCGGGGCGGGGCCGGCGGGCGGGGCCGGCGGGCAGGGCGCGCGGGGATTGGCGGCGAGTGCGATGCGGGCGGGGCCTGGCGCTGGGTGGGCGGGGCCTGGCTGCGCCCTCAGCCCCGGGCCTGAGAGTGGTCCCTGGATGCCCGGGGCGGGGTCAGGACCTGAGCGCAGAGTTGGGGGTTAGGCTGGACCTGGACTGGGGTCTCCGACTACTGAGCTGGGAAGTGAAGCTGGAGGCAGACGCCTGGGGGTGGCTGGGGCTGGCCCCCTGGGGTAGGCTTTGGGGCCATACTGGGGGAGGGTTTGGGGTCGGCCAGCATCAAAGTATGGGGGGCTCCCCAGCAGCGTGGGACGGAGGGACGGCCTCCCCGAGCCCCTGCCAAGGAGCTCCTCCGTGTCCCCTTCCCAGGCGATGAGCTCACCAAGCTGGGCGAGGAGGACGAGCAGGGCTGGTGCCGCGGGCGGCTGGACAGCGGGCAGTTTGGCCTCTATCCCGCCAACTACGTGGAGGCCATCTAGCTGCCGGCTCCCCCCACACAGCCCTCACCCCCCCTTCCTTCCCACTCTTGTCACCTCCCCTTGCCATAGAGTTCCAGACATATTTTACGATCAAGCTTTTATTTTTTTAAAAGTCAAAACAGAACAAAACAAAAAATATGAAGAGACGGAGCATCTGCAGGACTGCCAGGAGGCCGGGCTGGTGGGACTGGGGGGCGGCCCCTGGCAGGTGGGGGTCTCCGGGCTTGGCCCAGCAGAGACATCACAATGTCCACGCTTCCGGTCCCCCCAGAGGCTCCTGAGCTCAGAGATGCCTCCTGGACCTCCTGTCAGGCTCCCTAGCAGCATGGGACGGAGGGACAGCCCCACCCCAGGCTGCCAGCCCCTGTCCCGCTGCTTCCTGGGAGGGTTCCGACCTCCCCCTCCAGCCCCACTCGCCTCCTTCCCCACCACCCGTGTCTCTGTCCCTGTCCCTGTCTCTCTCTCTCTTGAAGGCCTTCGCTCCAGCCCCAGACAAGGGGCTGCCCAGTGTTTAGTCTTCCGCTGTGCCCTGGGGAGTGCCCTGCCCGTCTCACCCCAGGACTGGTGGCACCGGCGGAGGCTGGTCACCCCTCGCCCACAGAGGTGCCCCGGTGTCCCGGTGTCCGTGTGAAGAGGGCAGAGCTGGAGGTGGTGGCAGTGTCAGGGGGTGCAGGAATGAAGGGGAGCAGGCCCCCGGTCCTTCCAGCGCCCGGCTCAGCTGAGGGACCAGGACTCTGCTGGGCCCTCCTTCCCAGCTGTCCATCCCGCAGAGCGCCCCCTTCAGCATTTGCAGAGACACAAACCCCATCCCTAGTCCTCAGGCAGCTAGGGGGGGAGGTCAGGGCGGGGGGGGGGGGGGGGGAGGCAAAGCCCAGGGCAGAGCCAGCAACAGTAGCAGCTTCCTCCCGTTTCCGGAGGAGGGCACCTTGCCCACCCTCCCTGCACACTCATCTAAAACCAGAGCCTCACGGGGTTCAGTCAGCCTTCAGACCGAGCCTTGGGGCCCCCCAGTCCGCTCCCCTTCTCTGGCCTGCAGGGGCGACACCGCAGCCCCTGGGAGCTTCCAGCCTGGGACCCTCCGGAAAGGCTGCAGCCGATAGGAGAGGCAGGGGGTGGCGGGAGGGAGGAGCCTGGCCTAGCAGCAGGGCAGTCTCCCAGTCTTTCTCCTTGTCCTGTCCCCACTCACAGCCTTCGCCCGGAGCACCATGCCCCTGCTGGCAGCCCCCCCACCCCATCTCTCGGAGCCGGGGTCTCAGTTCCAGGAGTGGGGGTGGAGGAGCAGGCCTGTGGCTGTGAAGGAGTGGTGCTGGGTTACCAGGTCACTGCTGGGGAAGCAGGAGAGGCCCCAGAGCAGGGGCCTGGCTGGGGCGTCTCCCAGAGCCAGGCGGAGACAGCCTGCGGAACCAGGGGAGCCTCTCGGCCTCAGGACTGCAGACCCCCCACTCCCACAGCACTGCCCCTGGGCCTCTGGCTGAAGACCGTGTGAGACCCCAGCCCCGCTGTCACCCCTCAGCCTTTTGCTCCTCGCTCGCTTCTCCCCACAGCCCCTGTCCGGTCAGATCCGGCCTCAGCCTGCCCCTGTCCGTGTGAGCACAGAGGCTTTTGGCAGACGGCAGGGGCCTGAGCTGGGGCAGGCCTCCCTCAGGGCTAGGGAGGGGGTGGGGACAACAGCACCCCTAGGGACAGGCAGACTAGCCCCCCACAGCACCCCCTTTCTTGTCACTGCTCTCTGAGCCTCTGTTAGGTCCTGAGGTGTGTCTTAGACCCCTCAGAGCCTGGAGCGAGATTCCAGAATCCTCAGCCCCCCCAGCCCCAGAACAAAGCCCCTCCGCTGCTCCAGGCAGGAGCTGGTGGGGGCCTCCTCCCCCTGGAAGTCAGGAAGCTGCCACCTTTGCACCCGGGGCCTGGGCTCCCCCTCTCTGTGCCAGCAGCTTCCCAGCACCTGGGGAGGGGCACTGCCCTGCTGTCCCCTCGGCACTCCAGCTGCCCACTCCCCGGCAGGGACTCAAAACCCCATTCCTTCCGAGCGGTCGGTCCCAGGTTCCTCAGGCCCGGAGTGGAGCGTCTCACGTGGAAGAGACCCCTGAGCTCCCGGGCCTGACCCCCGCGCCCCCCCATTAGTGCTGGTGTCGGGGCCCCCAACTCCGCGTGGGGGCCGAGCCCCTCACTGTGCCCACAGCCCCTGTAGCTGCAGCGCCGCCCCCGGGCTCAGCCAGTAATGTGTTTCACCCCAAGTCGCCCACGTCTCAGCCTGGCTCTGCAGGAGGCCGCGGCTGCCCGCAGCCTGCCACCCGGCTCCTGACTTCATTAGTCCGACACTTGTGACACTCCGAGGAGTGCTGTGGTCTCAGCAATGCACCTGTTTTGTATATGACTGTGTAATTTAAAGGTATATAAATACAAATATATCTGTATATATATATAAGTCGTGATTGTATGACTGTGGATAAAACCAGAACTGTGTCAACCTGGCTGGGTGTTGTGATCTTGAGTCCTGCCTGTCTTTCGAGACCTGTGGTTGGATGTCAGGGGGAGGGGGATGCCCGGCTGCCCACCAATGGGCTGAGGACTGAGGGCTGGTCCTTCACCTTCCAGGGCCCGGGTCCTGTCTGTGCGGGGACAGTTATGTCTGAGGCTCCTGAGTAGCCGTTAGAGATTGGTTGCTTCCTGTACATTCCCCAACCTGAAACCTAGATGTGTGCCCCGAGGGGAATCAAACCCAAAACTTTTGGTGTTTGGACGACACCAAACACCTGAACTACCCAGTCAGAGTAACAATTTCAAGTTTTAAAGCAAAATTCTAAAAGTGATTACCAGCAGATTGTGGAATCTCAGAGGGAAGGCAGGGGAGGGTGAGAGGTGGGAAGAGATCAACCAAAGAACTTGTGTGTATAGATGCATAACCCATGGACACAGACAGTAGGGCGGTGACGGCCTAGGGCGGGGGCAGGGGCAGGCTAGAAGGGGTCAATGGGGGAAAAGGGGGATATATGTAATACTTTCAACAATAAACATTTTAAAAAATAAAATCAGTTATTTATATCCCATATAATAAAAGGGTAATATGCAAATCGACCGAACAGCAGAACAACAGGTCGCTATGATGCGCACTGACCATCAGGGGGCGGACATCACAGGAGGTGCCCCCTGGTGGTCAGTGTGCTCCCACAGGGGGAGCTGGCTCAGCCAGAAGCCGGGCTGACATGACAAGCACAGTGGTGGTGGGAGCCTCTCCTGCCGCCATGGCAGTGCTAAGGATGTTTGACTGCCAGCTTAGGCCCACTTCCCCTGGGGAATGGGCCTAAGTCATCAGCCTGACATCCCTCAAGGGCTCCTGGATTGCGAAAGGGCATAGACCAGGCTGAAGGACCCTCAGCCCAGCCTGCACCTGCTCTAATCTGGGGCCCCTTGGTGGATGCCTAATCTGTCAGTTGGACATGCCTCTCACAATCTAACTGCTTGCCTGCCAGCATGCCTGATCGTCCCTAACCCCTCTGCCTGCCTGCCTGATCACCCCTAACCGCTCCCCTGCTGACTTGATTGCCCCTAACCACCTCTGCCTCGGCCTTGCACTCAGGACCCAGGATTCCCTCCTCTGGCCAGCTGCAGGCACCCAGGACCCAGTGGGTGGGTGGCTTTGCCCTCTTCCAGTCTGCAGCCACAGGCGCTGGCACCGTGGGCGGGCGGCTTCGTCCAAGCCTGGCTTTGTCAGGAAGGATGTCTGGATGGTCATCTAATTAGCATCTTATCCTTTTATTAGTATAGATTAGTATAGGCTATATTTATTATATTTTTTTTTCAGCCTCTGAGAGAGAGAAATTCTATTTCTCTCTATGACCAGGGCCATTCTGCTGATGGCAAGGGGCCCGGAGGCCAGATTGTGTGTTCTCGCTCTCTGCACTTAGTCATTCTGGGTAGAAATTGGCTCTGACACCCAACCTGCCACCTGCAGACCAAGCTGCTATAGATGAAAACCTGCCCCTTGAAATGTCCTCATCTCCCCATTCCCAGCGGCCATAAATAAATAAATAAATAAGTGAAAAGTAGAAGTGATGACTGAGGCCAGTGGTTCCTGCTGGTCCAGTCCCAGGCTGCCTGCGGGTGCCACACGTCCCTGTGCCTGCCTGACCCTGACACCATGTCTGTGTGCCCACCCCCCCACCCCCTTAGGCGGCTCCTGGAGGGCTTCTCGGGAGTGGGCACGCCTGGAGCTCTGAGCTCTGAGCTCGGTTCTGCCAGGCCCAGGCCCGGCCTCAGCCCCTACTGCAGCCTCCACCCCCGCTGAGTCTCCTCTGGAGCAGGGCAGGGGTCCCAGTGCTACTACTACCAGCTCTCCGTGTCTCCCCACTCCCCCTCTCCCCCTCTCCGGTACCGGCCTCTGCTTCCCCGTCCCTTCTCCCTCCCCTGCCCCCCGTCTGGTTGGATGTCTCCTCTGTCCCAGCAGCCTGTCAGGGCACCAACACAAACCCCATTTTCAAGGCAAATGTACTACCCCCTCCCACCCCACCACCACCCCCAGCTCGCTTTCCCAAGCCCCGGTGTGCTCAGCGCAGGGGGAAAAGGTCAAGATAAGGGTTGAATCAGTTCTCCACCCCATAGCGTCTCCCCCAAACCCACCGCCAGGGACAAGGGCCTGGTTTTAGCCAAATGGCGGACTCTTCACAGGGAGACAAATGGTCGCCTTGGCTCATGTGGGAGGCCCCGGGCAGTGGTGAGAGCCCTGGATGCGGGGCCCGGGGGAGGGTCAGGGAGCACCAGGCGGATGGTGGGCAGCCAGCAGGGCCCAGGGGAGGGTCAGGGAGCACCAGGCGGATGGTGGGCAGCCAGCAGGGCCCGGGGCACAGGCTTGTGGCTCTCCTCCAGGTCCAGGCCCAGCTGCAGAGGCCAAGGAGCTGTTTGCTCACTGCCTGGAGGAAACTCTTCTGAAGACAAGGAAGTTGCTGAGGGCAGAGGCGGTACAGGGCAGCATTCAGCCCGCGCGCCCTGGGCAGCGCTGGCCGCTCCCTCTGCTCCCTGCAGCCTGCCCTCAGAGCTGTGTTTCGGGGCCTCGGGTGCTGACCAGTCCTGAGGCACAGAGCCTGTCCTGGTGGGCACAGCGCCTGTTTCTGCCGCCGATTGGCTGGGTGTGAGCAAGGCAACTGCTCTGAGCCTGTTTCATCATCTGAAAAATGGGGAGTTAGCCCCTAATTTGGGGGGAAGTTCAATGATAAAAAAAAAAAAAAAAAGGCAGTGGAAGCACATAGTCAGCCCGCAGGACTCCTGGGCTCAGTGAACAAATGCGAGAGGAGCAGGAGGAAGTGAGCGAGCAGCTTTGCCCAGGAGAGTGGGCAGTGGGTCCCACCCCCAGCACGCGCGCACACACACTCACCCACTCACACATACACACACCCACTCACCCACACACACTCACCCACACTCATCCACACTCACACACTCACTCTCACACACTCACACACACTCACACACACACTCACACACTCACACACACACTCACACACTCACACACACACTCACACACACACTCACACACTCACACACACACACACACACACACACACACACACACACTCACCCACACTCATCCACACTCACACACTCACACACACACACACTCACCCACTCACACACTCACACACACACACACTCACACACACACACTCACACACACACACACACACACTCACACACACACACTCACCCACACTCATCCACACTCACACACTCACACACACACTCACACACACACTCACACACACACACACACACACACACACACTCACACACACACACTCACCCACACTCATCCACACTCACACACTCACACACACACACACACTCACACAC